TAAATGGTATACCCTCAGTATTTTTCTACCTTATTTGATAGAAAATGGCATTCTGATGAGCATGACATATCAATCATATCATGTATGCCATAAATGTAACGACAATTTGACTCAAAATGCCAAGAATGTAGTACCAAATTATTCGTAAAATGTTCCATTTGAAACAATTGAGTTATGATTAAAAATAGGATTTGGTTTGATTTGGGGTTAAAAGATGCCCATTTAACCCGCCATGAAAAGGCACGAAAATCATTAAACAGTCAAATATATTTTTTCCAAAGCACCTTGATTAAAAATTAACTATAATCTTAATTAAATTAACTACACTGTAGATTGAAATTTAAAATGCAATTTTTTTAATTGAAAATGCCAAAGTTGACATATGATGTATTATTCTCTTCGAATGTCATTTTCTATTATATAAAGTAAAAAATACTGAGGGTATAATTTGAAAATCAAAGTTAAGGGGTAAGCCACTTTTGAGACGCACCCGGTATACTTAATTTATTAGAAGAATTAGAATTGTATTTCCGGTGAAACAGGTAGTGACCGAAACTAATCGAATACGTCAGTCAATCCCGATTTATGTCATATTATTAATATACCAAATTTCGTTTTTTTATCTGAACAAATAAAAAAGTTATATGGGCGAGCCACTTTTGAGAAACACCCGGTATACATACGCATATATTTCTTGAAACCGAGTTTTTAAGAACCCAGGGTCGAGTTCCTGATTTTTATCACTTCAATTTTTTTTCGCAACATGATACTTCCTTTTTTTAAAGCCATTGTCAGATGATACTGTCGGATATTGAATACATTATTGAATAACAGCTTAATACCATTAATACCAGCAATAGAAATAATGTCTCGGGATTTTATAGACAAATAAAATGCTTGTAGTTCTTTTTTTTTGCTGAAAAAGAATCTAAGTTTATTATGACATAAAGATATAGTACACTTTGCTAGAATAGTCTCACCAAAAACCAGGTGTCTTGTTAACTCAACTGCTTTTATTGGCCAACGTATTTTTTCTTTATTAAATTATTTATTTGTTATTTTTGGAATATAAGTGTTACTACTGTTGATTGACTGTACTGTAGTTGCAAAAACGTTACAGCAATTACAAGAAATACTGACACATATACCTGGGCATACAAGGCTTTGGACCTTATGCTGAACATCGATAAAACTAAAATCATGTGCACTCCCTCGGAAAATCATAACAGTGCTATAAAAATCGGAGAACTATTGGAATATGTAGCGGAATTCAATTACCTCGGCAGTCTGATTTCGGAAAAGGCCAATATCGACTCTGAAATTTAGCCCAGAATTATAGCAGCGCCTTAAGAGCATCCTGGAAATTAAAAGACAGGGTTTTCTTCAATCATGACTTGAGCACAAAAAGGAAACTTGCAGTGTATCGAGTAATAACAGACCCCACCATGTTATATGGAAGGGAAATCTGGGTGCCGATGCCGTACCGACATTTTCCATGAAAACTTAAAGGGGATAAGCATACAGAACCAGTGGGAAAAAACAGCGCACAATAGAAAGCACTGGAGAAGAATTGTAAACTCAGTTAACAACATAACTTAGACGACCAGAAAGTAAAGAGGCAACAAGGTAATGAGATTTTTGAATGTCCGAGTGCGGAAAAAAGTTAACATTACGTATCAAACTTTTCAGTCACAGAATAGCTCATGAAAGAAAACGCCTTGCATAACCGTCTTCTGATGCGTGTCAAATACTCGTCAGCGAGTAATGGCAGTAAGTAGACTGTTGGTTGACCCTACCCAGAGTCTGTCCAAAGAGTCAGAGAAGATTTTGCCAGACAACATCCAAAAAGTGACAGGAAATTTCGTTTACTTATGGATTAAAATGACAGACACAACTGTCACTGTCATGGTTGCTCTCATTCGATTAGACTATAGTTGATTTATAGCATATAGAATAAAGGTCGTTTAACTTATAACACTCTGACAAGAAGATAATTCATTCTTTCAATTATACACGACATCTTAATCGGCCTCAAGGCTACATAGTCGTCCGTCCTACAGTTATTAATACACAAATAGTTTAAATAAATATTGTATAAACAAACAATGTACACGGTGTCTCATTTACAAAGGAAAAACTGGTAACAAGGGCAATCAGAGAGTTGATTTTTGTCAACAGAACTTTTAAGATACTACATTTTTTAAGATAATAGTATATTGTTTTATTAGTAGTAAAAATAATACTTTTTATAGCGAGGTTGTACGTTTGACATTTCAGGCGAGATAGAAAGTAGAAAAAGTAATTTTTACTCGAAATAGCACATTTTCAAACGTCACAAATAAATTTTTTTAAACAATTTCAAACGTTCCAAATAATATAAAAAGAATTAAAAGTAATACCTTGTAAGTATATACTGAGAAACTATGGTTACGCTCGTTGAATTTGGCACTTTATGTCAGTTTAATAATATATTTTCGTTTGAAAAAAAATCGCATGTTCTATTCGGAGTAAAAATGACTTTTTGTGCCTTGGCTGTATGTCGTCAAACGTACCGCCTCGCCACAAAAAGTGTCATTTTTACTCCTAATAAAACAATATACCTGCAATATACTATTATTGCATATTGTCAATCACGTCGCAAAAATTAATACTCCTCTGACGTTTGAAAAAAAAATTAATAACTTTGAACAAGTATCTATAAAATAACTTTTTAAATACCTAAAACAATGTTTAACTGAGTTTTATATATCATTATTGCAGTGGATAAAGAAATTTGCTTATTATTATACAGGGTGTCATTTAAATTAGTGCAATATTTTAAACCCAAGAGATTTCTTTGCCATTTTTTTTTTTAAACGTTTTGCATTTATCTTACCTAACCTAACCTAATCATCAAATTTTTATACAGGGTCATGCGTGTAGGACAGCCGATCAGAGTTGTATAAATAAATATCGTTAAAAAAGCACGAGCGCGTCAGATTAAGGCAAGGTGAGTTAATTACATGCAGAGAAGTGTGCATTTAACTAATCTGACGATTTTAGCGTGACATAAGGAAATAGGAGCGTCACAAAGTTGCAAAAAACATCACCTGGACGTTCCCAAGTATTCCCAACTTGTTGATTTTACAGAAACTCATTCAGGAATTAAGGAAATAACATAATCTCCCAATTTCCACACGCCGAAGTAGCTAAACTCATCAATAAAGTGAGTAAAGTGCTGTGAACTATGTATTTCTAAAAAATCTGAGTTTTGACAATACCAATCTTAATATCTAGGCGGTAATGGTTTTGGTCGCGTCGAAATCGTCAGTCTTTTGAATAATAGTTTTAAGTTCAATTCACATTCCTTTTGAATATCTGACTCGCTCGAGTATTTTTTCTTTTTTCACTTTCTACCCTTTCGTATGGTCAATCCCCCCTCCCCCAACATGCAGGGCGACACATTAATATTCCCCCGTTATTAGAAACACGTGGGTGTATGCACTGTTAATATAGGTACGAAAAGCCCAAGCGTCTCAAAATATGAACGTTACTTTTTTAAATTTTTAAACATAAATGGCCTGGTTATTTTTTTTATAAATTTTAAATAGAAAATTAATATGTTTATTTTGTCTACTACTGTTGTTTCTACTACCCCTTAAAATATTTGTACTTATTTCAGAGACACCCTGTATAGTACCAAAAGTGCAAAAAGTACAATATCAAAGACAACATTGCAACTTCAACAGACTAAGGTGTGGTACCAGTAAATTTGATATTTCCAAGAATATATTACTTGCTCTTTATAGTGCTAAAACGACTACTTTACCAATACAAAGAAATACCCAAGTACATATAACATAAAAAATATGAAAATATACGTTTAATATTAATTTAACCTAAAGTTATAACATTGTTTTTATGCTAAAACATACAGAGTGGTCCGAATTGTATTGGGGAAACTTCGTCAGCATATTCTGCAGATAAAAATAAGTAAAAAAGTTCGTATAAATTTATGTCCTAAAATGGTTTGTTTCGGAGCTACAAGGTGTAAAAGTTTCATTTTTATTTCGATTTTTTCCAAATAATTTCTGAACTAATCCCAATATTGGATGGAAATTGGTGCCTGCGTATTTTTCGACATGAGAATTTCGATTTCGATGTCAGTATGACTCCTGCGTTTAGGGGGCGCAACCTACATATTTTTTAACTGTTTTGAAGAGTAATAACTTTTTGTCCGTATCTGTATTACACTACTGAGTAGAAAAATATACATTTCCGTCATTTTTTACGTAAAAAAGACTTCTTGGTCAAAATCGTTACGAGTAATGGTTCTCGAGATATTTTGAATCAAAATAGTCAATACATGCCATAACTGACAAAAATTATATCTGTTGAGTGGATAGTTATTAGTCTGAAATAATAAATTTGAAATGTTTTGGTGCCAAAAATTCAACAGTAACTGTTTTATGGTATTTTTTCTAAAAATAATCATGATTAGCTTATGAATATTGTAGACTATCTAATCTCTCAACATGTTTATATTTTGTCAATAATGACAAGTATTGAGTATTTCCATTCCAAATATCTTGAAAAGAGTTGCCCGTAGCCATTTTTGCCAAGAGACAATTTTTACGTAACAAATTACTGAAACGTCTATTTTTTCACTTACGGACGAAAAGTTATTACTCTTCGAATCAGTTAAAAACATGTAGGTGGCGTCTCCTACCAGTAGGGGTCATATTGATTTCGAAATCAAATTTCTAATATCAAAAGACACCAATTTTCATGGAAATATCGACTATAGTGCACAAATAATTTAGAAAAAAGCGAAATGAAAATGAAACTTTTACACCCTTTATCTTCGAAACGAATCATTTTAGGACATTTATACAACCTTTTTTACTTATTTTTATCTGCAGAATATACTGTCGAAGTTACCCGAATGCAATTCGGGCCACCCTGTATATATTTTTCTAATATCTACTTATAAATACTGCTTTATAAAAAGATCTACTTACTTGAAACGCACCACTTTGTCCCAAAATCCACAAAATCCCCAATAATAAAATCCTATATGTCATCGTAGAGAGTAATCCTGAAACAAAGAAAAAGGCAAGGTTCAAAAATTGCATCTAGGGAGTGTTCATTGAGTCATTAAAAGGTGTTTTTCATTGTTTGATGAAGTGCTCATGCTTCCTAGTGTGAGGTAATAGAAGTTTCCAATAAAGCAAATAGTTTGGTGATGTTTAAAAACCGCATATTTCTATATAAATTATACTGTTTTTATATATTTTTGTTAGATATAGATTTTATAAAACGTCAAATTTTGGCATTGACATTGATTGTATAAAAAATACATCACCGACACGAAAAACGGTCACCTTAAAATTTTGATGCATTGAAGTGTTATACACTCTGATGCAAAAAAAAGCAACGGAGAAATTTTTGGTCAAATTTAAAGTGTTATATTTTTGTTATTTTTAGGCCTATTTTCATAGTTTTTTTAGCAAGTTGTATATAATTATGTCAACATTAATTCGTAAACTCAGTTTCTTATAAACTTTGGTATTTGGCAGATTTTACAGGGTTAATCGAGGGGTAGTTTTTACCCTAATTTTAAAACACCCTGTGCAATAATTCCGTGTGTACATTTCCTAAAATATAATTTTACGGTCAGAACCATGTCTCCTGAGCATTTTGTTTTTTTGGATCATAACAATACATGCCTTCGTTAATTTTTCAGAGCAAAATCAGTTTGCCACCAACAATTTACAATTTTTTCAATTATCATTTCTTTTTTGAGTTATTTTTTAATATGGCAAGGCGGCTTTGGTGATTATTGTGAACTATATACTCCTATGAAGTGCCCATCATGTTCGACGTTTGGGAAATGCTTGGCAGAAGGGTTAGAGGTCGAAAAGCGGTACCAGCTTCATTAAATAAACTTCGCTTGGTCCTTAAAGAAGAATGGGAAAACATAATACAATATGATATATGCAGCTTCAATGACAGTAGAATGGACATATACAGGCAGTTATAGCATCTAAGGGAGGCAATACAAAGTATTAGGGTATTTTTTACAATTTTTTTTTTCTGTTTGTATACTTTAGTATTACAGATATTTTCTTTAATATCGTTGTTTCTGTTATCGTTATTAATGTTTATTAAAACCAGGACTGTATCTTCAGTCTTTAACGTTTTTTTAAATTTAGTATAGAGTACCCAATACAGCGTAATATGACGTTTAGACAATAGTCACCAAAACAATCTCGTTATATTAAAAAATTACATCAAAATGTAATGGTAATTGAAAAAATTGCAAATTGATCGTGATCAGTTCATTTTGCTTTTAAAAATTAATGAAGACATGTACTGGCATGATCCAAAAAACAAAATGCTCAGGAGACATGGTTCTGACCGTAAAATTATATTTTAGGAAAATTTACACACGAAATTATTGCACAGGGTGTTTTAAAGTTAGGGTAAAAAACAACCTCTCGATTAACCCTGTATAATATGCCAAATACTAAAGTTTATAAAAAACTGAGTTTACGAATTAAAGCTGACATCATTATATACAACTTGCTAAAAAAATTATGAAAATAGAGCTAAAAATAACAAAAATAGAACACTTAAAATTTGACCAAAAATTTCTCCGTTACGTTTTTTTGCATCTAAGTGTATATTTTGTTCTAGTGAGCTGATTTTGATGATTTTTTAAACAATTTGTAGCTAAATTATTTGATTTTTTAGTATCTCTTTCTAAATTAAAAATGAAAGTTCGCATCTGTCAATTATACGAGGCACCACAAAATGTTGTTATTTTGGTGAAAGTTTGGAACACCCTGTGGAATATGTTAAGAGAGCAAGGAATTTAAAAACTGTTATCATCTACGTACATCCTTTCTCGATTTTGTGTTTTTTTTAGTTCATCTCAATAACTTTTTTTTTAAAGATATTCGCTTTTGAAAAAGACACTAATTTTTTTCGTATAATTTTGACATTAAAACCATGCCTTTGCTTTTGGTCCGAGTCAACAGACCTATGAAAAAGTGTTTATGAATTGGGTAATGTGACTGTTATTGAAAAATCATATTATTATACTGTCTGTTGGCTGCTGGGCAGCTACTCTAGCAGGAATGGTTTTATGTCCAGAAGGTGGGTAACAGATTTAGGTGTTAACGAAGTACAGTGCAATTGCTTCCTCGAGACAAGTTCATATGCTAGACATCCAGGAACCTTCGCATGATAGCTGCGAATCAAGGTGATCGATTTATTGTAAGTTTATCACTAAGAAAAATATTCTCAAATTTGTAAAGAATTGCACCTAAGGAATGTCCATGTAAGTGAACGGACTGTACGAACAAGATTAAACGAAGCAAATATTATGTCAAGAAGGCCTGCTTCGGGACCACAACTTACTAAAGTCTGTTGAATTGGACCAAAAGCAAAGGCATGGTTCTAATGTAAAAATTACGAAAAAATGTTGATGTCTTCTTCAAAAGCGAATATTTCCAACAAAAATAAAGCTATTGAGATGAACCAAAAAACAAACTATAGAGAAAGGATGTCACTAGATGATAAATTGATTTTCAAATTCCTTGCTATATTAATACCACAAGGTGTTTTAATCTTTTATCAAAATAACAACAATTTCCTTCGTATAACTGACAGATGGGCTTCATTTTTAATTTGGACAGAAATACTAAAAAGTCAAATAATGTAGCTACATATTGCTTAAAAAATCATCAAAATCGACCCACTAAAACAAAATATATTTTGGTGCAGAATGCTTTGGGATATAACGCAAGTGTTCTAATTTTATTTACGTCGAAGTCTTAAGATTCATTCAGAACCTCGCAATTACTACAATAAATTAGTTGTTTCAATTACATTTTATACTTTTTAGTTTACGATCATTCACAATGTCCAAAAAACACAATTAACATTAATAGAATATCCTAGCAACAGCTTCCAGTAGTCAGTTGTATCCATAGAAAAATCCTAATATTTAGCTTATAAAACAATAAACTTTTGATGTCTAACCAAATTTTGTCCCGAATGATGATATCCAAAGGCCAAAATGACATTCGTCGCAAATTTTGAAGTATAATTAGCGGAAAAGTTAAAAGTTTGTTAACTTTTTGCACTAATTGAAAATTCCTACCACTAATTTTGACGTTCTGAATACTTACATTGAAATTAAAGGAACAAACTTCTGCTTTAATTGAAACTACTAATTTATTCCACTAATTGCGAGGTTCTAAATGAATCTTTACACTTAAAAATCAGTGCTATTAACGAAATATACATTATTTAAAGAAGTTCATAAAATGGAAACCTAACCTAACCTAACCAAAATACTGAAAATCTGATTCGAAAGAAGTTATGGATAAATCTCCGGACTTATATTAATAATAATAATAAAGAAAATGTATTTAAAAACCTTAAAACACTGAAATATTAAGGAATTTACTTTAGGAAAACTAGTATTGATGTTCAATACTAGAATTATATTAATAAACATAAATCAAGATCTAGGAATGTACAGGGTGGTTCGAATTGGACGCTCATCATTGGGATTTCGGAAACCGTAAGAGATACAGGATCGGTTAAATGGAGGCAAAGTTGCCCAATTTGATGCTCAATAAAATGCCGTATTGCATTTTTATTTTTTATTTATTTTTTTTTCATAAAATATTCTGGTGATGGAATTTTCTGTACGAAACGTCGGCAAATATCAAAGTGACTATATATAGTGTTTTAAGAGTAATGAAAGGATTTAATTAAATTGAAAAAAAAATCAGGTCCGTATTTAAAAAAATAAGTTGATGATGGTCGCCAGAAGCCGAAACGTCAGAGTCAATATTTAACCACACAGAGTTATAGAGCAGAAAAAGTGGCCATGAAAATGTGTTTTTCATTTTAAGTTATCTTAACAAATAAAGCCAGGAAACAATAGAAAACAAAATTGCAAATTCCGTTTCTTTTTCGAATATATTCCGAAGTATTCGGAATTTTTCAAAATGCAATAGGGCATTTTATTGGGCATCAAATTTCGCAATTTTGCCTCCATTTAACCGATCCTATATCTCTTACGATTTCCGAAATCCCAATGATGAGCGTCGAATTCGAGCCACCCTGATTCAACAAAATGATTTAAAAAAAGTAATCTCTAAATGTGTCAACCATATCAGATGCATTTAAAAAAGTCTGGTTTGATTCTATTTAACTAACTAAAAGATATCGTTATATCTCGCTCTGTATACGACTATATCCACAACTCGCCTGTATATAACGACCACCGGTTTAATATTTGCCTAATTAATTTTCCAAATTTATTCAAAAATAGAAAGAAATGGTTGGAACAGGTTATTTTAAATCCTGATAATTTATTTTATGTCAGAAGTTATAAAATTTGTTTTGTCTACGACGACGAAATGGCTATATTATAAAGTAACTGTAAATGCTGTTAAAAGCACAATCAACAACAGTTATCGTTAAATATTTTCATATTTATTCACTTGCATTGTTTTTACGGCTAGAAAATTAAGTGTATTAGGGTGATACTGTTGTGGTTCCGTTATGCATATAGCAATAAAAATATTAAGAGATAAGTACTTTGTTCATCGTATATTGTCGTACACTCTGTTTTACTTGACAACCAGATGAAAAAGATTGTTGACGTCATTATGTAAATTACTGATGATTGCTTTTAATAATTGGCATTGTGATTTGATTTAGGGTTATAATTTTATTGAAGAACATCGGGGGATGCTAAAATTAAAATCTGATTTCCTTGTAAAACAATTTTCAATATTGACATTTATTTCTGGAATGAAACATCTTTACGCGTGCTGGGACTAGAAATTCAAAGCCGTAATACGACACGCGACACAATGGGCGAGAGGAAAAGAGCCAAAAGCAGTAAGGACAGCCTACTGCTAGAAAAAAATCGTCCAATTTAAATGAATGGCCGATATTATATATATATATATATATATTATATATAATTGGTATGCCGATAGATTACAACAAGGTACAGCAAGGCAAAACATGTGCAAAGTACTGGCATGTATCTGCATCACAGATGCC